TGATAGTACAGTGGGAAGGGCATTTCTTTGCATGTGGTTGACCAGGATTTGATCCCCACATCCTATAGTGTCCCCTGAGCACCATCAGGAATAATTTCTGAGTGCAGAGCCAGGAGTAACCCCTGAGCATCACTGGGTGTGGCCCAAATCTATCCTCCACAAAACAAACAAACAAACAAACTCCAAAACCCTTGTTCCTGAGTTCTATGAGCTGCTGTAGCAAATGAATTGGAAAAAGAGGTGGGGAATCATGAAATTTGATTCATGGCTTTGATCAAACTTTGATTCATGGCTAATCACACAGCAGCAGATAACTGGGATTTGAAAGTGGCATTTGAAGTGTGTGTGTGGAAGGGGACCAGCCAGTCTTGGGAGCATGAGTCTGTCACCTGTGGATCTGGTGGTCTCCTCAGGTGGACAGCGTTGGGATCAATTAAAGATGACAGGATTCAACAGGGTGTGGCAGAACAGCTTCCTGCAGGAACCCTCCCACACACTTGAAAACCACAGGTGTCAAAGTTCTGTGTGGGTAGGCAGAGAAAACTGCAGGAGAGGCCTACTCCAGACTCCCTCTGGCAAAGCGTGGCTAATTCATGGCACTGGTAGGACAAGTGGCATGGAAAGGGACCCAAGGTAGAAGTATCTGGAAAAGATTCACTGTGAACATGGATGTAGGACCCGTGTTGCTTTTCCAAGAGGAAGTAAAGCTCTCAGAGTTTCTTACATTGGAAAGTTCTGCAGAAATTTCCTTCTCCTAATTTATCTACCACATTGGCAGAAATAGCCCGTCAGGCTTAATGCAGCAAAGTCAACTTGATTCATCTGTCAATAAGACTCGGGTTCAAATCCAGATGACAATTGTTGAAGGTGGATGGGATAAAAGAGGCTGTTGCAGGGCATCAAATCTCACCTCAGAGGATTCCACACCCCAACCATCACCACACATCTCTGGCAGTGAACCCACTTCAGATGCCACACTGCTGACACAGGCCATGCCTGCCGGCCTCCAGGCTTCTCCTGGATGCATGTATAAAACCTCTTTGGTTCTATTTCTGGTGACTACCTCTGCCAACTAACTCCTCTGGGACCTCAGGACAGAGAATCAGCATCCCTCTGTAATTTTAAAGAAAGGTTCAACAGGTGCAAATTTGACTGCATTTGAAAATCCTGCCGTCATTTGTACATTTGGATCAAACTTTTAGCTCCTTATTGAAACACAAATGTATTTGTGATCTATAAAAAAAAAGGAAAGGTACAATTCCATGTCATCTGGAATCAGGCAACTCATTCTAGAAAAACATTTTCAATCTCTGAGCCAACTGCTCAAAGAACTTGTGCAGTTTCCTTAGAACAATAAAGTTACCTTTATAAGAAAAAAATGGGAGGGGGCACATTTCTGAAAGCCACAGAAAATTAGATGGTGTGTATTACCACAAAACTGCTTCAGTGCAGCTTTATACTGCAGACCCCTATGATAGTAATAACTTTGTTTAAAAGGGATAAAGCAGAAAAAGAAACTGAATAGCTTCCTAAAGACTAAACTGATACATAAGATCCAATCCAAGTTGCATTTAAGTTATAAAATACATAAGATATCGATAGGTAATAAACAGAAACCAACAAAACAAACCTATTTTTAGGCACAAATCATTGTAGCATGACCTATCCAACTCTCTAAAATAGATCAAGATCTACTTGAAAGCAGCTAAATTAATCACTGTTTTTAGGGTCAGGGAGATAGCTGAAAGGAATGAGCAAATGGTCTTATCAGGAGCTCTGGGCTCAGACCCTGGCACCACATGACCTCAAAGCATCAATCAAACACCACTGGGTGTGGCCAAAAACAGAAAAAAAATCTTCAAAATTGCTATGAGGCATACCGGGGGGGGGGGGGGGGGGGCGAGGGAGGAAGAGGTGACTTTGTGACAAAAGAGAACTATTGGTGTCCCTTGGGAAAAACCTCTTCTTCCTGTTTTGTTTCAATGAGGGACTGTGCCACGATTAAACATAGGTCAGAACTGTGTGAGGATGAAGAGGAGATCCACATCAGACTTTAAGTTTGCACTTCTCAATCATACGTGGAGCATGCGTGGAGCCTCAGTGCCACAGAGGCTCACGGGAGTGAGGTTGTGGGGCTTGATCCAGGAGCTGTACCAAGGGCTGATCAGCAGAACAGGGAACATTAAACATCCCAGAATGCCTTGGTGCTTGATGCTTCACTTGCAGAGGGAGGCCAGGGCTATTGGCACTGGCCCAACCTTGTACTGAATCCAACTTTTGGTCTATGATTTATTTGTAATGGAGCCACACCTGAAAGGGCTTGGTCCATGGGATACCGGGTCTGTGATGCCTGGGTTGGGGTACCTGGGGGTCCTCAGGGGATGCAACTTAAAGCTTTGTACCTGGGAGGCATGTGCTCTATCCACTTGACTATCTAACCTTTCTAGCCAAAGCCCTGTTAGTGCAGATCACTGGATTTTCCCCCCCCGGCATTGAACTAGAAAAATAAAGATTCTCTAAAAATAAATTAAAGAAACTTCAGATTTTAACTTGTGGGGAAGCAGAAGAAAAAAATATCACAGATAAGTGATGCCCACAGTAGAAACATTACGGTTGCAAAGTTAAAACAGTGCATAATGGAATAGTGCATCTAAACAACCAATGCCACTGATAGGTCGAGCTCATCATCGTAATACCAATGCTCATTCATTTTTATTTTGAAGCAAGGGATCTTGTGGCAGTATTTTAGAAATTTGCATATTATGCAAAATTGTATCAAAGAAAATACTTTTTGGAAGCTCAAGAGGATTTCATTAGAGCAGAAGCACTGGGCTGGGCTTCAGTAGGGAGCTTGCTAGGGCATGGAGTGTGGGAGGATGCATTAGGGAAGTTATCTAGGACAGTGGGGGAGCAGAAAGTGGGGTCTGGGGGGAAACGGGAGACAATAGTGGAGGGCACTGGATGTTGAAGGAATTGGTGTTGGAACATTGTATGCCCGAAACTCAATCTCATATATCTTTATAACTTTGTAATCCTGGGTGGGTCGATAAAAACAGTTATCAACTTTTGAAAGAAAGAGGATTTTATTATAGCACATTTTTATCGCCAGAGCCTCTAGCATAGGGGCTACTAAAGATTGTACTGTATTCAGAAAGATACAGACTTTACATGTGTTTTCTCTTTTTTTCTAAATCAATAAGATAGCTTTATATCTTATTAAATGCAAGTGATTCGGATTATCTTTCAGTCTATATTAAATCCCATACTTCCACTTTCCCACCAGGATATGATACAGTTCGCTAAACACATAACTCCTTTAAGAGGTCATTGTTGTGGGGAAGTATTCGTGCACATCTTATAAATTAGTCATTTTACTCTTTCTGGTCATGTTTTAAATACATGGAATTATTCCAATCAAGCTTGGGATTTCACCTTCCCAACCCACACAGAAGTGATCCACACTATAAGCACCTAGAATTCATGAGGAATGGAGATGTTGTGGTCAGGAACAGAGAAAGGGTTAAAACCAGACACCCAAATGAGTTCCAGCTCTGCAACCTCTCCAGCTTTGCAGCCAGGGTGGGTCTCAGTTGGTGACATCACAGAGCTGCTGGGGCAAAGCTGACTGCCTTTTCTCCGGGGTTTAAAACATGACTTACCTTTTATTTTTAGATTACAAAAAAAAAAAAGAAGAAAATGAAAATCATGAAACTCTTTGAGGAGAGAACCTGGACTTAACAGATGGTCCCAAGGAGGTAAGAGCTATGTGGCTGCTAAGTCTGTGAAGGACCAAAGAGAGAATCCAAGAGTCCAGAGCATCCCCACTCAGCAGAAAGGAGACTTAACTTCCTCTTGGAGTGCCTGTACTTACATCCACCCGGAAAGGAGCCTGCAACACAGGCTGTAATCTCTGAGTTTCCTCTGGGTAGTAGTGATTTGTTTCTAGCTTTAAAGACCGAGGCTTAACTGTGAAGCCAGAGAATGAGGCTCCGAGACCTGGGGCATGCCATCTGCCTAGCATTAAGCGAGAACTAAAAGTCAGTTACAGAAGCACAGTCATTTCGAACATGATTTATGTTCCATCTTTGAACGTGGCAGGAAGACTGGAAAAGATATTTGGAAGCCAATGCTTCCTCTGAATAAAGTAAAGGAGCCCGCGCTAAGCCCCTCTCTTGGACCACGCAGGTCTGTTCGATAAGTTGCCAATGGAGAGTCTGTGAACCCTGGAGCAAACTGGCGATGGGGGATGAGAAAACATCCCAAGGCCAATGATCATGGCTACTGTAAACGCACAGAACAGAGAACAAACAGCGGGGTCAGACAACAGATATCCAGGATATTACTCAAACACACGTCCAGCTCCAAGCTGACAAGATAATCTCTTCCTGCGAGTGCAAAGCAGACTGGAATGCTGTGGCTATGACCCATTCAAGGAAAGAAAAAAGAAAGTGCAGTTCTCCAAGGGTTCCAATCTCGTGCTCTTTATGCAGGCAAAACTCCAGCAGACATCAAAGGAGGTGCTGCCTCCAGAGGGAGGGTGGGTGGAGGGCTGTCCTGAGCCCGCCGAGGGGATCGTTTCCATGATCAGGTTGCCATCTACATTTGGTGGACGGGCACTACATGCAAATATGCCAGATGCAAGTTGAAACGGATGGAAAAAAAACAAGAAGTGAGAAATAGCTTGGAGATTTGCTTGCACGAGAAATCTTGGAATTCCCAGAAAATCGCTTAGTGTGGGGCATTTAATGAGTTATTCCAAAGCTCTCAAGAGAATAAGGGATTTCTGATTATATTAATAAATAACATGGGGGGGGGGGTAAATCACACTGCAACAGACTGCTTAATCACAAAATAGTATACTTACAAATATTTCCCCAAAATTAAGTACTCTTAGGTCAGCAACATCTTTCTAATTGAATATAGATTATATTTTTACAGTAAAATTTTAACATACGTGATCTTGATTAAAGAAGAGCCCCAGATGCAACAAGTATACTTACAGGAGGACCTGTGGCCAGGGGAGGGTGGAGAGAGTAAAAACACAAAGGGAGAAAGAATTAGTCAATAGGCAAAATATTAAAATTAAATAAAAATCAAAGCATTAACATATAAGAGCAAATCACTAGGAATGTGAAAATTACTTAGCATTTATTAATAATTCTTATTTTGGGGACCAAAGTTTCTTTGAGACCACATTCAAATGTATAGTTATATGCATCCACACAAAAATTTCACATAAAATATCAAGAAATGTTCAGATTCGCTGAGGCCTATCTACAGAGCACGGAGAACTTGATATCTGAAATTTATACGATCTGAAGAGAAACCAGATAAATGTTATCTATCTTATCTAAGTAAAAAAAAAAATTAGGTAAGAAATGAATCAGACAGACTGGTATTTGGTTATTTATGAACTAGTTGTAGAGAAATGATATATCTATATCGAATTTGGCAAAACAACAAAATCTTAAATATAGCCATTCCTTTTCATTCAGTAGCATTGTCAATCTAGAAGAGACTAAATCTTGGTGGTTATTTAAGTTTCTTTACACCTACACATTCTCACAGAAAAAAATATTTCCATACCATATGCCCAATGACAACTCCAGCCATTAGTTGCCAGGAATGTGGTCACTAACTTTTTAAGTTTCCTACACAACTTTGCATAAACACAAATTTGTCACTTTTTTTTCTCTTTTGACACATGGTTGATTCCATGGTTATTGGACAGCTTCGTCATTTACTTTTCCTCCAAACAAATTTATAAAGCGTTTTTTATTTTTTCTTTTTAGTCACAACCAGCGATGCACAGGGGTTCCTCCTGGCTCTGCATTCAGGAATTACTCCTGGTGGTGCTCAGGGGACCATATGGGATGCTGGGAATCGAACCTGGATTGGCTGCGTGCAACGCAAACACCCTACCTGCTGTGTTATCGCTGCAGACCCAGATTTATAAAGCTTTATGTAGAAGAAATGCTCCTTGGAATAATACATGTTTTCAATTATTTACATTTGATAACTTTTAGACATAACTTTTGAGCATATGCTGACAGAAATGTAGCACTAATGAATAAAGTTTCATAAGTCTTTTAACCTTGGCACATTCCCTCAACAGGCTGAGGAAATGAGACAAAAACGATTAGCCTCCCATTTGCCCCTTTTCAGAGGTTAATATTTTGGCTGTTTCAACACCTCATAACTGATAGTCTTTGATACTGATACTTAGAGATATAATCTTGTAAAATAAATAACACTTCTCAGCACACTAGAATTAAGTCGTAAATGAAATGAAAACCCTCTTCTTATTAAGAAAGAATTGGTAGCCTGGTAAACCTTCACATGGTCGTTTACCCTGAGATAAGAAGTAAACTCCTTTTTAGAACTTACTGGTTTTAATGAAAAAAAAAAAAAAACCTTCCCCCTTCACTGTGCACCCAGGGATTGGTTGTGGTCATTAAAAAAAAAAAAAACAATGCACATTTTTAGAGTTGCCTGTCTGCCCAGGCTATCATTTCCTCATCCCTGAGCAGAAATGCAGGAGTGATGAGGAAAGCACGCAGCAGCATTAGAAATCAATGGTCTTCCCAGAGAATCACCCGATTCTCAGTGCATGAAAGGAGAGGAAAAATATGCTAAAACTGTGTTGGTTAGCTGAAACAGCTGTAACACTTCCCAAGACGGGTGCCCCAGTGACCAAAGGCAGATGTTTTTGCCGGGAACCTACATCAGCGACCACCCAGAGAGCCGGAGTGTCTGTGGTGTCACCCCACTGCGGGCAGCCAGCAGCCCCTGCTGTCGCCAGAGTGGTCAGTGGCCAGAACTGGGAGCTGGAGGTCAGTCAGCAGTAATTAACATTATCTTGCAAACTTTCCTGCCTATCAGTCAATGGGAGGAGATCAAAATCATTCTAGGGTTAGCGGATTCAGAGACACGCACGCGCATACATGCGATTGCCAACAAGACCCAGAGTCGGGACTGAGGAGGAACAGAGACAGAACCTGGGCGGAACCTATGCAGCCGCAGCCTCAGAGCACTTACCAGACTCTCCTCTCCGACCCCTTTTGCCTCGTTTCCCAGGAGGTCCTGAAAAACAAAGAATGAGACTTTTCAGTGGCGCTTAACCTTTATTTATTTTCTGGTTCCCAAATGGCTAGTAAATAATTTCTATATGTTTAGTGCCATTTCTTCTTTTTTTTTTTAATTCCTATATTTAAATTTGGTTGTGGCGGCTGTTGTTTTTAATCAAATCACCGTGAGATACACAGTTACAATGTTGTTCGTGATTAGGTTTCAGTCATACAACATTCCATCACCCATCCCTTCATGGGTGTACCATTTTTCAAGAATGACTTTGAGAAAGCAATGTGCAGCAGTCAGCACATGGTCATTGTCTGTTCCCAACTTCATTTAATGGACAAAAGCCACTCCAGGAAGTCAGTCACCAAGTATCACTTTGGAACATTAACTCAGAACTCAGTTTATCCTGCCTGGGTATCACCAAAAAATGAAGAAAAGGTTTTGCTAAACAAAGAGGCGGTGTTCAATTTGATATTTCCAAGGAAATTTTCTTTTGCAAAGGTTTCAGCATATTAATCATCGAAAGTACTCAGAACAAAGAAACACAGGTGATTTTCTCTTTCAAAAGTCTGCCAATTGGGATTCTCTTGAAAATCACAGCAAGTTTAATGCATCCGGTAGCCAAGGAACTCTTCCTTACAAATATTTATTGGATGTGATTTTTCATATACTGGACTTCCACTAACTGGAAAACAACTGAATTATGATCAACCGTTTTATCCTTCCAGGGGTCCACACAACAGTGCTGGAATATGCATGTCTGTGTGGTGGTTACTAAGGTTAGCTCTCAGCGGAAATCGGGAGCCCTGGAAGCACTACAGCTATTCTGGGGGTCACGCTGTTGTAGGGATCAAGCCCAGGACCCCCTGCATGCTAGGCACGTGTGATCGATTGTTTGAACCACATCCCCAGCCTAAGGAAGAAAAAAAAATTAAGAAATTAAGAGGCAAGAGTAGAGCATTTCTAACACAACTGCCTTAAGAGTCCAATAGAAGATTTAAAGTAATAAATTCATCAGGTGGGAAACCAGTTACACTGAGAAGGAAGAAAGACTAGAAATCAGATATTGAGCAGATAGTAAAGTGACAAGGCTGCACTACAATTTTCAAGTTTGAAAGAGAAAATGGGAATGTTAATTCTTTTAAATTTACAAATGAAACTATATTTAATCCGGTCTCTTTCTCTTAAGGATCAATTACAGCTCAAGTAATGTGTTTACAGTAGGATTGGCATTTATATACACACTTGGTGTACACACTTACCTCCCCTCCCCACCACCAAACTGTTCACGACCCCTCATCTAATGCTACTGTTTCACTTCCCATCCACCTGCTCTCTCACCTGGAGTTCTCAGTAAGAATATTAAATTTGAGAAGAGGATCTTATAATCACTATACGAAACAGAAGACTAGAGGGGAAATTTTGTTGAACTTAGCAAACTGATACTCAAGTGCAACTCTCAGGAAGACATATAGATGATCTTTACAATGGGAATAAGGAGAACTGTAGGGTGAGTACTGTGTACATGACAAAACAATTTGATACTACTTCTGAACTGAAGGGAAAATTATTTTTTTAAATATGAGATGAATATGCCAGTGGACAGTTAGAAAAGGGGAAAAGTTAGGAAAGACAAACTACAGGTGTCTCCCAGATAAAGCCAAGGTTAACCATAGACAGAAAGATAATGACTGTTTCATCCCAAATGGGGTTATATAGAACCAGCCAGGTATGCAGAGTGAGAACAAATATTGAAGCGGAGACCTGACGCCTATTCACTGAATTTGGCTCAGATCCTTGCAGTAGAACTTTTGTGTGGATTCTTTAACAGAACGATATATGACTCTGCAAAGAGAAGCAGCTCAAGAATATGAATGGGCAGAGAAATGCTAAAATCAACCACAGAGGAAGTGGAACTTAGAAGCCAAGAATTCATGAATGAATATCAGAAAACAGGAAGGCTACAAAGCCAGATTGTCCTTCATGCTAAAAAACAAAACAATAACAACAACAAAACACTCATAACAACCAGTACAGGTTGTGATTTAGAGAAACAACCTTCGTTTGGAATGGAACACAAACTCCCAGCCTGAGATGGCGATTGATGAGAAGTTCACAGATAGTTGGGCAATGCGGTCAAGACCAGTATTAACAAACCCAACTGCAGCAGAACAGTCTTCAACAGAGCAACAAGAGCTTAAGCTGAGCCAATTCTTTTGCCCTGGAACTAATACAATTGGAGCCCTCTTTGCCACCAATGATGTAGTCACATGTAGGTTCTTCTGATGGGTTAGGTAGGGGCCTAGAGAGAAATGGAGGTTAATCTTGGGACCTTCTGGTGGATTTGGAGTGGCTGATATTTTTGCATATATCTGGTGGATCAAATAAATCCCCAAACTTGTTCATTGTCTTCTTCGTCATTTTCCACCCCGTCAGTATTTCAAGACTGGGTTTAAACACAATCTCTGTTCTCTGAGAAGAAAAGTTTTCTACACATGATTTTAAAAACATATGACTACACAAGTACTTATGATTAAACACACAACTGAGGTTCACGGTCATGGTCCTCCCATTGTTCATCGATTTGCTTGAGCGGGCCCAGTAATGTCTCCATCATGAGACTTGTTGTTACTGTGTTTGGCATATCGAGTACATCACGGGTAGCTTGCCAGTCTCTGCCGTGTGGGCGAGATACTCTCGGTAGCTTGCTGGGCTCTCCGAGAGGGGTAGAGGAATCGAACCCAGCTCGACCGAGCTGGCTGCACTCAAGGCAAAGACCCTACTGCTGTGCTATCGCTCCAATCCCACAACAGAGGTTAAATACACAATTTGAGAAAGCAATTGAGAAACATTTTTTAAATTGGAAACTGAGAAGATAGTGCAGTGGGCAGGGCACTTGCCTTGGATGCAGTCAATCTGTGTTTGAGATTTAATTCCTAGCACCCTGTATGGTGCCCTTGAGCTCTACCAAGAGTGATTCCTGAATGTAGAGCCAGGGGTAAACTCTGATGAGCTGATGGGTATGGCCTCCAAATAAAACAAGGCAAAAATATTTTAAAAGTCATAATTGGCTGAATATTATGTTTTCTTGGTTTGGTTTTATTTTAATCCCTTGCCTTCTAATTCTAGCTGTACTGCTTATTGGGAGTAAGAAATCAATTAAAATGGATGGAAGACTTAAAACTAAGACTAAAAACTACACAACTCCTACAAGAAAACATAGGGGAAAAGTTCCTTGATGTAGAGCTTGGTGATAATTTGGGGATAAGATACCTAAAGCACATGTAGCAAAAGCAAAAGTAAATGGGGGGGGGGACTTAAATGTTTCTGCACAATAGAAGATTTCATCAACAAAGTAAAAAAAACACACATACAGAAGGGAAGAAAATATTCTCAAGCTACATACCCGATAACAGCCTAAATATCCAGAATATGTGAGGCATTTATACAAGGAATAATCAAGCCAAAGATTCCGATTTTAAAGTAGGCAAAGGATCTGAACACACTTTCCCTGAAGACATATATGTAGCCAGAAGTTATCACAGAAGGTCCATGAAGGTCCATGGAAAGTTACATGAAAAAGTACTACTATACTACCAATGATCAGTAAATGTAGATCCAAATCACAATGTGACACCCATAACATCTGTTATTACAGCTGCTATGAAAAATTAAAGGTACGTGTGGAAGGTGTAGAGAAAATGGAGTGTAAAGTGATACATCCACTGGGAAAAGAAGCACAGCAGATTCTAAAAAAAAAAAAACCCAACCATGAAATAGAGGTAGAACTACCATATGAACCAGGAATTGCACTTGCATCCTTCTTTCCAAAAGATTAAAAGTGAAACTCTCAGAGACCCCCAGCACTCCCAGTTTCAGTGAGGCATTCTTTTCACAATACCCAGGACACGAGAACAATTTTTCTGCTGCTTACTGCACTATTCCTCAATAAAAACTGCAGAACAGTATTGCAAATTATAATGCCCAAAAATAGAGAGAAAGTATGGAGGAAATTGTCTGCCACGGAAGCAGGGGGAGGCTTGAAAGGGTGGGGGGCATACTGAAGACATTGGTGGTGGAGAATGTGCACTGGTGGAGGGATGGGTGTTTGATCATTGTATGAATGAAACTCAGACATGAAAACTTTGTAACTATTGTAACTGTATCTCATGGTGATTCAACAAAATAAATAAATAAATAAATAAATAACTGCGGAACAATCTGCCACATCCCAACAAGCTGCAGTGGTTTAGAGAAGTTTCATCCCAAGACACAGAGATTCTTTAGGGACATTAAAAACAAAACAAAGCCCCCAAACCCCTGGGGTCTGTCAAAGCACAGTCCATGTTCAAATACCAAACCATACTCTCCAGAGTGAAGATTCTGGAGACCACAAAGGGAAATGACAAAGCGACAGCTAATTCAATTTGTTTGATGGCGGGAGAGAGGGAGCAGGGTTAGCCGACAAAAAAACAGGGTGCTGACACCTAGGATGGTGAGGAGGCCCAAGGAGAAATCTAAGCCAGCCCACCGCACCCCGGCCAACCCCGACAGCTGCAGTGGCTCTGTCTGAAGACAGGAGCTGGTGGGCTCTCGTCCCAGAGCACCCTCCCCCATCCTGCAGCTCCTGTCAGAAAATGAAGGTTTACCTTCAGATCTCTCTCTTGGATTAACCTTCCAAGCAGGCACAGATTCATTTCATAGCCTTCCCCGAAGCCCTCCCACCTGCTTGCTTGCCTAATGCCTGGAATTCTTTCAACATCAGACCAAAGCCCTTTATTCCACAATTAGAAGTAAAAAGCTTTAACAGCAAATGCTGGGGGAAGAAGAATATTTGCCATAATTTCTTTTCTCCATATGCACAAAATGCCTGCATCCAGGGAGCCTCAGAGGTCACGCTGTCCGGGTTACATGCTGGGGTCCAGGAGCCCCAGTGTGCCACACTGAGCCACAGCCACTTGCCATCAAAGTTCGTTGGCTAAAATCAGTTCACAAAAGAAAGGCTT